TGGAAGATTAAGATTAAGTACGAAGAAAAGAGCATGCGAAGGTGAGGCGCAGACGGAGGGAATAGTTGTAGTTGTCGGATGTTAAGTATCTGAATTAATGAGGGGATCCAAGGTAGGTGGGCATGCATGGTGATGGTGTGTTATTTTGGCAAGATTTACAGAGAATGGCAGTGAGAAAATATAGCACATTCTGATGGTGATGAAAAAATGATTTGTTCAATTATGTGATGACCCGTGAGAGAGTGAGCCAAAAGCTTAACTGCCTCAAATCCCTCTCACAGTGCCCACCATTATACGACAAAACCCCAACTCCCATGTACAAACAATTTGCTGGCCGGCTGCTTCACATGCCTCCAAAATCTAACACGAGCAGTGCTCCTACAGCTACAGGTACTATCCTCTCTCCACTGCCTCCCTCTTATATTTCATCTCTCTTTCTAAAGAAACCAAACCAAAATGGGGAAAAGATAAAAAAAGTTAATTATCTCTGGAGAGTGGAGTGGGATTAGCACCTTTTGTAGCCATGAAAGTGATGTTCTCAGCACTACTCCTTTTGCCATCTGAAAAAGCCTGAACTTCCCCTAGAAGGGTCTCTTTTGCCCAATTTGACTTCAAATATGTTTTCTCGGGGCGAGAGTTTCCCCTCTACCGATCAGTCTCTGTTGGGAGGAACCATAATATAATCCCCCACGAAAAAGCTGAACTGTCTATTTTCTGTGCAGAATTCTCCCAAACTCTACTGCCAATTTTCACCCACAACTTGGATCGCTTCCCGATGGCAAAGGCACCCACTACTAGTCAGGTCACTTTCCCTTTTCCCCTCTTCTCTCCTTAATTCTCCTTTCCCCTCTGCCCCCAACTTTCTTCTTCACCCTTTTAAGTCATTCATTCACTCACTCATTCATTCATTCCACCCACACTGTCCATGACGCAATTCACACCCTTCCACCAAATCACACCCCTCCCCAACCCTACCATGAACAAAAACCAAATCCCTAGGACTAGGCCCTGGCCTGCAGGCTTTCCTACCTCCAAGGCTTTAACCAACTTCGCCGACGCTAACTGCATGGAACAGTTACTTCTTCACTGTGCCAACGCTATTCAAACCAACGACGTAACCCTCGCACAGCAAATCCTTTGGGTCCTCAACAACATAGCATCCCCCGACGGCGACTCCAATCAACGCCTTGCCTCCAGCTTCCTCCGTGCCCTCACTGCACGTGCAGCCCAAACCGGCACCTGCAAGATGCTCGTCGCCGTAGCCGATCACGCCCGCACCAACATCTCCATAGACACCCACAAGTTCTCCGTCATCGAGCTCGCCAACTTCGTCGACCTAACTCCCTGGCACCGCTTCGGGTTCACCGCTGCCAACGCCGCCATCCTAGAAGCCACTGAGGGTTTCTCCGTCATCCACATCGTCGATCTCAGCCTCACGCATTGCATGCAGATTCCGACGCTCATCGACGCCATCGCTAGCCGCCACGAGGTCCCTCCTCTCATCAAACTCACTGTCGCCGATGCCACCTTCAGAGACATCCCTCCTATGCTCGACCTCTCATACGACGAACTCGGCGCCAAGTTGGTCAATTTCGCAAGGTCCAGGAACGTCGTCATGGAGTTCAGAGTGGTTTCTTCCACTTACCAAGATGGCTTTGCGGATTTGATAGAACAGTTAAGAGTGCAACAACAGCATTTTGTTTATGCAGTAGAACCTCGTCCCTGTGAGGCTTTGGTTATCAACTGTCACATGATGCTTCACTACATCCCCGACGAAACCCTACACGCGATGCCTGAAACTGACTTAACCTCTTTGCTCTACGATTCTTCTTCGGCTGCTGGTTCTTCTTCTGCCATTAGTGTTACTTCCACTTCCTCGCTGCGATCGTTGTTCCTTAAGTCCCTGCGGGGTTTAGATCCAACGGTTGTAATATTGGTGGATGAAGATGCAGATTTGACATCGAATAACTTGGTTTGCAGGCTAAGATCTGCGTTTAACTATCTGTGGATACCATACGACACTGTGGACACGTTCCTTCCACGAGGGAGCAAGCAAAGGCAGTGGTACGAAGCAGACATTTGCTGGAAGATTGAGAACGTGATAGCGCAGGAAGGGGTTCAGAGGGTGGAGAGGGTTGAGCCTAAAAACAGGTGGGAGCAGCGAATGAAGAACGCGAACTTCCAAGGAGTGGCTTTTAGTGAGGACTCTGTTGGGGAGGTGAAGGGCATGCTTGATGAGCATGCTGCGGGATGGGGATTGAAGAGGGAAGATGAACACATTGTCCTCACTTGGAAAGGACACAACGTGGTCTTTGCCTCTGCTTGGTTACCTGTTTGAACATCAGTTTTTGCCGCTTTGTACTCTATCAATAACAGACATTCATTATTTCCCTACTTTATCTTAGTAACTTCCTTAAATAGTTACGTTGTACTTTTTTAAGAGTAAATAACTAGATCAGAAGTTATTTGTAGGTCTTTCTGGTGCTTTTAGATACTATCAACGCAGCTCTTTCATATTTTTACCTTTCAACTTTTACCCTCTTTTATTCTCTCCTCAATTTCTCTCTCTTTCAAAGAGAGTAATTCTTCTTTTCTTTTTTTTTCAGTTTATATAATGATCGATTCATTTTTATTATTTCTAGACATTCTTGAGATTTTAAACATTAAATCCAAATCTTAGGATACTTTTGCTGTCTCTTAGTAACCAACAGTAATAGACTAGTTGTTAGCCGAGTAAAGGTGATAAATCTCATGAGCAGAAGAAATATTTCCTTGTGTTTTGGACTTAAGAGACAATCATTTTTCCAATAAAAAAGACATTAATTTTGAAATAAGAGGAGGTCAGCGAGTGTCTTCATGACTAAAACCATTTTCATTGAAAATCATAACATCATTTTTACCATAATTTTTTTTCTTTAATTTTCTCTGAACCAGTGCCTTTTGACAAAAGAGTAAATATTGAAGATGAAATCTATGACCACTGAATACTTGACCACCTGAAACCAATAATGCTGAAGTTGCATTAAATGGTAAGCTAGGTTATGACAGTCTATTATATATACTCTTGTGAAATTGTGGATGTTGTGCGGAATTTCCATATATATAATTGTCGTAGACATTATGGACGTGTGATCTTCCCTTTTTGTTTCCTGTATATGTGATGGTAGGAATTGGATTCTCCTAAAGTAATGTTTCCTACGTACAGTCAATAAAAACAGTATTCTTATAAATCTTGTCCCTAACTAAATTCACCATAACTTTAGATTCCGATAATATATATATATATATATATATATTAAATTCCTTTTTTGTTGAATATTTATAATATAAAATAAAGTTACTAACAGTACCATAATACAATAGTATGACAAGGTACATACAAATTTCAAGGTTATGTCTCAGAAGTTATGTCGCTGAAGGACATCAAAGATAGAAAGTGTTGATAATGGCTAAAGGTTACAATTCTGCAACTCCCTTGTGTCAACGACATGGCTGAGAAAAGTGGCATCATAAGCTAATGACTGCTATTGGTTGTAACTACACAATTGCTCCTGTAACATGGTGTAGGTCTACTATGTATATAACGCTGCTCAATTTCTCAAAGTTACAAGCTTACACAATCTTTGGTGGATATATAATATAGAACAAGGTATTTTAACACTTGTCCCATAATCTTAACTGTAACATGTCTTTCAATTTGTAAGAATAATTTAGATTAAACTAATATCAACGCTATTAAAAATTGTTTGTAAACTAAAAAGCCATATTTATATACGCCCAATAAGTATATGGGTCAACGCTAGTAAGGGAGAAATTGATGTTAATTAATTAATATATACATTAAAAAAAGTAGTACACTCTTAATTTATGCACGCGAATTTACTGGTTTCAGTTTTTAAAGATTAACAAAGCTTAAAATTTAGAATTTAAATTAAACTTATTAAGAATAGTTTAGAATTGATAACGTTGATTCTAATGTAATTTATTTTTAAAATTACTTAATTTTACATTATCCAAATTGATGTTAATATAGTTTTATTTTAAAATTACAAATAACTTTTTTTTTTTAAAGCTTGAAATCTAAATCAAAACTCTGCATTTCCCTAGTCCTCAGGGTGTAGATTGGGACAACGTAAAAGAGGCTTAAAATTTGGTTTTATAGGGTAGGCTAAGTGGACATATACGACAGTTAAAGCTTATGCATTATTATAATATATTTAATTCTTTTTTAGAATAGTCTAAAGTTAAAAGTTAATGTATTTGTATCTTTATTTATTGTTTAGACCAACATAAAATTTAATGTATTTTATTAATATTTTATTTTAGCATCAGTTAAGCTGATGTAAATCTTTAATATATTTAACTTTTTACAGATCTATTTATTTAGTATCAACTTAGAGATGACATAGTTGATTATACTTTGTTTTAGTCATGTAGTCCACGTTATTCTTTAACATCCAATGGGAGGAGTTTTCAAGATCGAATGCATCCAAAACAATAATCGAAA